GTGCATGGTGCTTCTGTCCTTGAACTCGTGTGGTTTTGTGACCTTCTCCCAGACAATGTTAAGCAGATGCACGGGTGTTTTGACTAGATGGCAACCCCAAGTTTGTACATATTCGCAGGGATGCCATCTGTGCCTGCTGCCTTGCCCTGGGACATCTGTTCAGTAGCTCTGAGAGCATCTGCTCTAAGTGCTGGTGCTGCTCCTTCAAAGAGGCTGTGGGGCTTCATTTGGCACTCGATCAGGGATGACGGAGCTTGTAAAGTCAGAATGATAACTCTGCTTTATTTATGTTTGAAAGTGACAAAGAAGATGATTTCCAAAATTGAATGCAAAAAGTAGTTTTGCTTCAGTTCTTAGAGCTCTTATCAGAGTATTTAATCAGTATCCTGCTTACCAGATGGTGCCCTGTCTTCACTACAGGATATTTTAGTGTCGCCTGATAGGTGTTAGCATCATAAAGATAAGAACAAAAAGTGCTTTATACACCATGGAGATTCAGAACAACGTAGATCCTGGGGCTTTTCTTGGAGTTGTGGCTTATTTGAACTTTGGAAGCCCTCCCTCCTTTTGCCACTTCCACAACCCAATAGCAGTAAAATTTCTGAATGGAATGTGGTTCCTTGTCACAGGTTAAGATCACTGCTGTGGAGGATATGATGAAGAGATGATTCTATTTCTTTAATGCAGATGGGATTAAGCCCACTCACCTTATAGAAATACTTTGCTTTTTCTGCTTTCAAGTGTCTTACGTGCTCTTATTTAATGATCATGACTTCTCCATTTTTTTCTGGTCGTGACATCCAAAGCAGCTTTCCAACTTACAGTATCCTTTTAGACACTTTTTTTCTCTGGATCTGGAAGTGAAATGAGCTATCAAATGCACAGTTAAATATTCACTATGGTTGTGACACAGAAAAAGAAACCCAGGCATTAAGCTTCACTGGGTCAGGCTTTGTACTCTTGTAACAGTATTTGTGTGAGAGGTACACAGGGATTGCAAAAGTCAGAAAGAGTTGTGAAGCATTGTGAGTCGACTGTGGAATGATATTGTTCTTCTGTAAAGCACATTGCATGATCTTAAAATAGCCAAACTTTTTTGATGTGCATAAAATTAATCTGACTTCAGCAACATGTGTTTTTTTTTTTTTTTTTTTTTTTTTTTTGTCTTGCATTTGGTGATTTTAATGAGAGACTGCAGACAGACCTATAAAAAGAATCGGAATTCTGTAATTGTATAAAAGCTGACAGCAGTAGCTTACATGCTTAGCAAATATGGAAATTCCAGTAGTGAGACTATTTCAACCAAGGTCATGTTGTATTGCAAGGTCATGTAAGCAAGCAGAGAGCTTTCTTAATACGCATGTTCTGAGAATTTCATCTGTCAGAACACGTGTGAATTTGAATCATGCCTCTTTTAAAAAAAAATAATCTCATTGAAAAATAAATAAAACAAGAAACTGAGTGCTAACAGGTTGAAAAGTAGCTTGCTGTCTCGCATCTCTTTCTTGGGAAAGGTCTTGAGGAGGGTAGTAGGGGCTGGCTGTTGTGGGAGGTGGCACACAGGCTATGTGCAGGTGTGATGCAGGAGCAGAACCAGTTGTAATACTCGGGGATCTCCCATAGCCTTTTGATGTGGATCTCATGGGAACATTGAAAGTTCACAGTTGCCTACTCATGATACTTTATTCAGGCAGTCTGAGATGCTGTAATCCGTTCAGGAACCCTGACTCATTCTGTTCCTGTGTTTTCTTCTTCCTTGCAAAATACTGGAAGTACCTACAAAACACCTGTTAGATAGGAGTTCATTTTCCAGCCTCTTATATGGTAGCTTCTGTTAACCCCCTCCCCAGTTATTTCTCTCTTCGTTTATAGTGGATAAAAACCTGTGCAATGGCATTTCAAGTCAAAGATGAAGTAGATATTAAAAAAATAAAGCCATTTATTTTCTCTGGCTTTATTTATTATTTTCTCACAGGTTGATTTCTTGCCTAAGGTTATTTTTTTCCATTCATATTCCATTCCACAATTTGCAGATTAGAACTTAAACACAGAGCAGGAACATTTATTTCCAGGAGTGGATGGCCTTAATGTCATTGCTTTTGAAGAGGCTTTCCTCCAGACTCTGGTAGGAGGAGGAAAGAAAAGATGCTTGCTATTGGAAAAGGTATTTACACATGAATTATATTCTGGCAGGGAAAAGACAACCACATCTTGTGAAGTGTGAACATGGTGAAGTGTGTGTGTAGTCAAGAGCTCAATGAGAATTTGTTTACCTTCAAAAAAATTAAAAAATAAAACAAAACAGGAGTGTTGGTTTACGTTGCCTTGCATTTTTTAATTACTTCAGATAGACATATGTTGGGCTAATCCAGCCAGTTCCCACTGTTGGGGTTTTGTTGACTGTTGTTTGCTGATGTTTATCTAACTGCTTCTGATTTGCGCTTGTTGAAGGGTGGTAAAAAATACGTGCTGAATTTGTCTGCTGTCATCCTCCTTTCCTGTCTCTGAAGAGGTAAAACATGGTGTTTTAGACAGTCCTGGTGCACTTAGCAGTAGGGGTGTATATATAAAATTTTTGTACTCGTTTTTACAGTACATTTTTGCTAGTCATTTCTGTATTAGATAAATTAGTCTGGAGATTGACAACAACCTCCATGCATAAGCAACAACCCGTTTGCAGTCCTGAAGTAACTATTGGCTCTGAAGCTTGTTAGATGAGGAACTACGTTCCTTGGCAATTCCCCGTGCTGTTCAGGTGCTAGAGCAGAGCTGTGATTAAGTGCAGATCTGACTGACCTTTCCAGGGCTGAGCTGTTGCCTTTTTATTAACAAACAAAACCTTGTGTAGTAAGCGATTAGCTCAGCGGCTATTAGAGATGATGAAGAATAGCTGCAGGAAGTGATGTGCTTCTTGCAACAGGAGCTTCTCTTCCTCTCAGGCTCTTATGCTTCTACAATCAACAGTGTAAATATATATACACACATGTATATTTATACGAATACTTTGTGTGTGAGAGATACTAGAACGTTATGTAGCTCTTTCTCTTTTTTTTTTTAAGTTTTCTTCCTTGCTGCTGTTTCTCTGAACAAGAAAGAAAGCAAGTCAGTCTCTTTGATGACTTCCTTTCATGCTTTGACAGCAGATGGCAATTATGAAGCATTTAACTTTGTAAGTGTGGCTTCACTGGCAGTACTTGTCCCAGTGCTTTCCTGGCTTGGAAGCACCAGCAGCACTGTGTTCTGTATATTGACTGTGCTCTTACTGAGCATCAAACTCAAATAATTAAGAAATCTGGGGAGGGTTTTTTATGAATGTCATTTAGATATTTTAATGGGTGTTGGCAGTGGTATTAATTAATCAACATTCTTCTGCTTTCCTGGTTAGAAAATGCCTGTGCTTTTATGTGCATAAAGCAAGCGCGTTTACAGCTCCTTCACAGCGCTAGCCTTTCTTGTTCTTTCCACTCTGTGCTGCATGTATTTTATTTGTATGTGTGGCTGTTGTGTTTTCATTCTGTTTTGGTTTTGCCTTTATCTGCCTGTGACTGTTTATACTTAGCCTCTTGAGTCTTTGATTCAGGTGACCTGATAACGCTTCTATGGTGGATGAAAAAAGTAATGGCAAGGCATTGGCGGGATGGAGGAGGGTTTCAGTTTCTCTTTTGGTCAAGATTTATTATCATGTTCCCCTTGCCATTCTGTGGCACAAATTCCCACCTAGTGTTTTATCCCATAAGTTCATTCCTCCCAGAGAACTCAGTTTTTATCTTCTAAAAAGCCTTCTCTTCCCTGGTAAGAGCTATTTTTGATGAAGCTCACACACCTCATGTAACACTCGTGCACACTGGCTATGAAGGTTTCTGTACAGCTGAGCAGTGTAGAACGCTTGTGCAAGTAGGACATTTGGCACCTGCATACTTGGTTTTTTGTTTGCAGCATTTATTTTTTGGAAGTGAATTTCATTACTGTAATTCTATTTATTTATTTGTTTTTACTTGAAACTACCACTCATCTTTCAACTGCTATATAAAACTGCCATTTTCTAGTAGGAACAAAAACCCCCATGACATTGTGGAGGTGGATGCAGGTCGGGACTAGCTGGACAACCTAACAATCATGCTTAGTGACAGTTATTGCCACTCAAAAAGGAGGTCTGTGTCACCGTCTGTCTATAACCAAGGCTTCATTTTAGCAGGAAAAAGAGAGCCTTGATTTGATATGCTGTAAATACTCTGTGTGATCTGAGGTCCAAGAGAAGGCTTCACTATTTCTACTGTCAATGTGCTACCACCTGGAAGGGCTAAATTCACTCTACAAGAAGAACTGGCTCCTCCCCCCAGCATGAAACCAGTGAATAGCTGTGCTTTGTTAGCTCTGGTGACTGTTCTCTGGGGTTAACTGCCTGAAGGGTCTGTTTGTGTATGCCAGGTGTTGAGACACCTAATCCAGCCAGGAGGTTTTGTTCTCTTGCAAAACCCAACAATTACAGCTGTAACAACAGAAGTCAGGGAAGGAGTTAAGCACAATTGCATCTAGGGGAGTCCTAAAAGTAGACATTTTTTCAAAAAGTGGATTTGCAAATAGTAAATACCTGGTGGCTTCTTCCCTTAATGGTTTTTTGTTTGTTCATTGCTAATGATATCTACACTTCTTTATTGATCTCCTACAAATTCTGCATTCATACAACACATTTTGATGAAAAAAATAAGTATAATTTTCTTGTAGTTCAACCTGTTCTGTATGTTAAAGAGGACCTCAGTTTCCAGGACTATCAAATGGTGTTTGAATGTGAACCATTTCCACCTAATTGGTATTGCTATTTTTATAATGCACTGAATGTAAAGTCTTGTGTCTCTGCCTCTTTCAAAAAATGAACTAGTAGCTAATCCATGCTGAGTAACTTCTTTAGACTGTGACCTTCTGCGTGGTGTTTGCTTAAAGAAGTCTATGAATTAAGGAGGAAATGACAGACACAATGAATAAACCAAAAAATTGAACAGGTTCTTCTTTGTGTTTCAAACACAGCTATTTTGAGCTGGAGAGCTGCGGCCTGCGGGACGAGATCCGCTATCACTACAGGTCTCACGGGCAGTCCAGGACAGAGGTGTTCCCCTACAGGCTGGCCGACGGGCAGTGGCACAAGGTGGCTGTGTCACTCAGTGCATCCCACCTTCTGCTCCACGTGGACTGCAACAGGTAAGAAAATATCTTCACTTTTTTGTATTTCTTTTAAAAAAAAAAAAGCTTTCTGCTTACACCTGGGAATAAAATTGGAAAAGGAGAATTATTTCTTTTTAAAATATCTGATTTAAAAAGCATGGTAAACTGCCATGGGATAAGAAAAGGAAAACAAAACATGAAAATGAAATGATGCGTTGTGATTATGAACAAATGTGGAAAAGGTTGATTGCTGGCTGGGGAGTGCTAAATGTCTCTCTGTAGTTTAGGCACTAGCTGATGTTGTGTTTGACTGTGATTGCATTTAAGTGTGATGGATTGGTGTGCAGTCTGCTCTGTTGTGAACTGCTTCACTTGGCATACCTGAAAACTTCAAGAATAGATAGATGTGTCAGAGGCATTTTAATTTTATTTTACTTAATCAAGCAATGCACTTTTTACCGATTTTCTCTTTTTTTAAAGTTATTTTAAATTTTTTGTTTTATTTTCCTCCACCTGCTGTCCCACTTAGAAACTTCTGAGAAATATGGAAGCTTGATTTTACATGTCAAGAACTGGTGCTTTTTATTTCCTGAAGGGTATTCTGTCTGTCATTGCACTTTTTTCCCTTTAAAAGTTGCGAAGACTGCAAAATGGCAGATTGTTAGGATTTCAAGGAATACAAAGCAGCAAATCTAGAATGTCTCTTCCTTGAGAATCTCCCCTCCCTCGGGATTTTATCTCACAATGTATTGAAGACTCTAGCATTTGCTATCTTAGTGGTTGATGAGGAATCAAAAAATTTGAAATTGGGACCTCGAAAATAGTCTTTAGGAATAAAAGAAAATGGTCCACTACTTTTGTACCTCCTTTCACTGAAGTTAATATAAAAAATATCCTTTCTCTTCAGTGAGATGATTACGTGCATAGGCATTTTGGGATTGTGGCACTCAAATGGATAGGACAATGGTAGAAGATATTTCTTTCTAAAGTCTTCATTTTGTTGAGGCAGCAGAATGAAGTATGTGAGAATTATGGGAATATGGAGTATTGGAACATTTGAAAAAGTTTTAATTTTGACCAAAGTAATTATGAGATACTGTTTTGAGAATAAGGTTACAACCATTTTCTGCAACTCTATTAACTACTGACAGTAAAAATCTAATCTGAAGGAAGGTTGCTTACTGCATCCTTTTGTTTGGACCCTAGAAGCACTTAAATGCTTAGAGCAGTTTTAATTTCATTGAGGCGTGAAATCTACAATTTGTAAAGATTGTCTTCATTTCAGAGGTCTGATATATTTCCTTTACCATTCTTTATCTGTTAGAGTATTTCTTTGCTTACAACAGTATACTACAGTGTACACTTTCGTTTTGTTGACATAATGGGTTTTGGGACAGTTTCTTCATTATCTTCTATGATTTTTTTTTTTTTCCTTTATGAACAAAAATGTTTTTTAGGAAGACCTTTTTAGCAGATTGTTTTGCTGGTTGCTTTCTTATATACAATGTGAAAGGAAGACAACAAAACCTGCCTGGTGGAGAATTCTCTCCAGGAACAAGAGAGCTGCACAGAGTCATGGCTGTGACCCAGTTTTCTTTGCAGCAATAGATAAATACAATTATGGAATGAGGTGTGCTGTCGTATGAGGTGATAAATGTCTAGAGCTCTCTCTCTCTGTCAGGTAACCCTGAACAGGGCTGATCCATCTAAGTATGTCCCTTAAGGTGGTACATATAAAGGCTGCTCCCAGCATAAATCCATACCTAAATGCCTCTATTTGGCTTTGTTTTTGTGGTATTTTTTGACAGCTCCTGTGGAAAAGTAATGGGAGTAGTTCTGAAAGCATGACTTGAGGGCAGATCATAGTAGTATAAATGAGGAAAAAAAATAAAGTCTTTAAGTTCCTGACTCAGCTGTAGCATCTCTGTTTAGTTAATTGGAGAATTTTGTGAATGTTGGTGTTATAGTTTCCTTTTTTATATCTTAACTCCTTACACCTCTGTGCTCAGAAGAGGAGTCAACATCTTGTTCATCTTTACACAAGCATTTCCTGATGACATTACAATAAATGTCAAAAGATGTGAAAATGAAGAGCAAGCCAAAGAGAGGTGCTTCTGAGGACTCCTGAAAATCCTAAGCCTTCCTCATGGTGGTGTCAGGAAAGCTGCAGCTGAAAAAGTATGCACAGAATCCAGTTCATAAGCTGTAGACTTTACATGTACCTGTGGCCACTTTAGGCTCGTGTGTTGTCAGTGGCTCTGGGCAGACTTCAGGGTGCTCAGTGAGAAGCCATGCTTCTGCAGGCTGAACTGTAGCAGGGCACTCACA